GGAAACATTGCGCTAATATCTCGTCTTCAGTCAACTTCTTCTCCAATACATTACTGAAGGCCTCGGCATCGGCTGTGATCTCATCCTTACCCTCATTCACATGATGTGCTTCATTGGCATCACTGGCTTCTCGTATGTCTCCTTCAGATCTCTCGACATCTATTAATAACTGCAGAAAATCGTTGTGTTTTTCCTTATTATCTCTCCTTTTCTTTATTATACTTCGCGTGAAATCAGTGAAAAAGTCTGCATCAGAATTGCCGGCATTTACTATACGCCGGAATATACTGACAATAAATGAAGGCAAAAGCGATGATAACATCCCTTTCCAAAAAGGAATATTAAACAGTTTGTCAGCATTAGTGGTGAACGGGTTGTTAGGATCGGCGTATGTATTGGTTTTGGTGGCGAAGGCACAGCTGGCGATCACATCCATAGTATAGGCGCCCATCAGTTGCTTCAACTCGACTTCATTCATACCTTTCGACACATCCTTATCCAAGTTATTCAGAAAGTCTTCGCAGCAATGGTTGATAAGACCATACATTTTCTTCATCTTTCCGGACGTGAAGGTAGGGCTGGCTATCGCCCGGACCCGCTTCCAGTCGTCATCCCTGGCAAGTAACATGATTTTGGAGAAGATTTTGTGATTCCCAGCAACTGCCCGTCGGTTACGAAATGAACGGAAATCTTTGACCAGAATTTGTTTGATGAGCTCCGGGTCGGCCACTGTTAGACACGGCTTACCCATATTGAACACCCTATTCATTACAATCAAAAGGTTTTCATTTGAAATAAATTTAAATTATGAGTTGTTTTCATGCTATGTATACCCAAACAGTTTTCCGTATTTCTTATACCACTCCATCTCCACAAATGGTCGCGCCTTTAGGACAGGACTCAAAACATTTCCGAATATAGGTATGGGTTTTGGACCAGAAATCTGTCGGTCCTTCCAATAACTTAAGGCATTTTTCCACGAACTAAATGAATGAGTATTTAATTATTAATTACATATAAAGTGGATTTAAATGATATAAAGTGGATGTCTTACAAGTGATAATAGGCGAGCACTGCCACAATGAGTCCAATGAGACACCACTCATATACCTGGGATATCGGCGCCAACACTGACCACAACAGAGATGTCATAATTGACTCGATGTTTATTACAATATAACTAATTTAAATATAATAATTAATAGCCTATTAAAGTATTATAGTAGTTTTTGTTACTCTTGTATTGAAGTTTTGAAAATGTTTACTGTCTCCTTTTATAGCACATATGAACACCAATAAATGATAAGGGTACTTTTTCTGACTAAACATTAGGTATACTGAGTGCAGTTTGGTATAACTGTAAGTAATACAAGTATGATACAGAAAAAATATCATGTAATCCACTCTACAAAAAACACTGTTTTTAGGGAACTTGGGTTCAGTTGAGTCCGGTAAATTAATCTATGGTACACTCATAACTTATCAGTGATTAGCATCAGCATGACAAAACCATACATTATCAGTACACCTGTACATGGATTAGTTCATAGAGCTATTCATCTGAACACAAGTCGGTTATATATATTATTTATTACAGTATCAGATATATATGTATACTACTCATATTTTGTGTAATTAAGTATAAATAGATATTGAAATTTTAAATAAATTCAATTGTTATATATTTAGTATACAAACGAGTTTTTCTATTTAAATTGTAAGTACAATACAATCATTAAAGTGTATACACTATTCAACACTTCTTATGAAACAAAACATTATAAGTAATAATTTAAAAGTTATAATTTATAACAAAATAATTTGTATCATACTGTATAACTTAATTTATCAATTAGTAATATCCTGCTAAATATACACTCAAATTAGGTTATCGTTTCTGAATGCCGACCACAAGTCGTTTTGCCTGACAGAGAGCCCGACCCTTATTGAAGACTACGGGGACGTCAGTGTCGGTGACTCTGGAGAAGCGGAACTTTTGTGAGATCTTCGCTAACGCGAGCTTTGCCTCCAATAACGCGAATCGCATTCCAATGCAATTTCGTGGACCCGATCCGAAAGGCAGGTAAGTGTAGGCTTTGATATGACCTCTATTTTCGGGCATAAACCTATCCGGGATGAAGGTAAATGGATCCGGATAGTGGTCGGGGTCGTGATGTATGGCATAGACAGGAATTTCGGCGATCACTCCCTTCTCTATCTTCACTCCAGTATTTCCTAACATTACGTCTTCCATGGCTTCCCTCTCGAGTCGAAGTACTGGAGGATAACTACGAAGGGTTTCGGATATGAGTGCGTCAATGAATGGTAGTCTGGATAGGACTTCGTAATCGATTTCTCCCTTTTCATTGAAC